CGAGGTTGACACTCCCAGGTGACTTTTCTCTGCAAAATTGTCTAATCCCAAGTTTCTAATTATGGTTTTAGATATTACCAGTGGTGTGCTGCATTTGCTATAAATAACTGAAGATAGCCTAAGCGCATGAAAAAGCATTTTTCAAAAAAAGTGTAAAATGAATTTTTTTTAGAAAAGGTGTAGTGATATCCAAATTATAATATATAAGAAACAAGAGAGTGGGCTTTATAATCCCAATCCTATATGAAAGATTTCATGCCTCCTAACTATGCAACAGTTGCAAGGTTGCACATTATGTCTGCTGTTTTATTTATTTTTTCTGTGTTTTTTGAGATGATTCTGTTTGACGCGCTTCTGATAATGGACGTTTTGGTTTTGTTTTTAATATTTCTTTAACCACATCTTTTCGCAAATTTTCTTGATCTGTTATTTCTTGATCGGCCGTGTCATCTTTATACGCTTCTTCCTCATCATAAGTATCACTTTCAGGTTCACTTGCGCTTCTTTTCTCTTCTTAGGTCGGACTAGGGCGATCGATGGTTCTCAAATTCCGCCCACCGGGTTGGGAATTCAAGAGAATGGAATGTACTGCCGAAGCGATGGAAATGAAGATGGCTGTATCAACCCGGACAACGTTGGCATCCAACTCGTTGTCAGTCAGGGAAACTGTAACAGCTACCAATTGAACGATCCCTTCTACTGTGGAAAACACCCGTTCAATGCGAAGAACGTCGTAAATGTCCGCATGGGTGGACAATGGCCCAATTGCAAGGTTACTCACGAGAAAGGCCAACGCACCTGGCTGCAATTATTCATGTTAATCACCTTTTTTTATATTTTGGCCATTCATTTTCTCAAATAAAAAAAATACAGCAATCAAAGAGTTTGTGTGGTGTGTTTGTATACAATTCAAGTACATTAATCTTTCTGTTATTTTTTGTCCGTTAACACATTCGACGCTTGGGACCCGCTATATTTTAGGAAGAAAATGATTAGAAAAACACTTTCTTTTGCTTTTTGTTCCTTCGGTCAGAGGATGATGTGTGCTATATCATATATTTTCTCAAGCCTCTCTTTAGCCATTTATTATACAGAATGATGTTTCTCATTAAAACAACCAAGACAATAAAATGTCTTTTTGTTTAAAAAAAAACAGTGCCACGAAATTCAACATAGTCGATAACCTATGTGTTCATTCAGTTGTGATAGTCCAAACCTGACCACAGAGGAGTGCTTCGGCTTCAGAGAAAATACCCATAACTTCCGAATCATGGATTTCCAAGATGTCGGTTGGATGCAGTTTTGTAGAGGACATTTCGGACTATATATATATGAAAAAAATTTATAGAGTTCTACGACAGTTTTCAGAGAGCCGAACTGTTTTTTCACAGATCTCCTGAAAAATCTATCTTTGAATTTTTTCACGGATTCGTTTTTGCTTAGGAGAACATAGCTTCAGATCTTGGCTAGAGAGAACACGAAAATGTGAAACTAATGTTGCAGCCATTTTGCTCTGGCTTTACTCTAGCCGGATACTTCAAACGAAGAAAGAGAAGAAAAACAAGAAATATTATGAAAACTGCAAGTTCTATAAGCTAGAAATTAATTCAAAATTACGGTGTAGCAGTGTTTTCTTATTGAGATAAATTTTAAAACAATTTTACTTTCTTTAGCCGTTAATGATGTCTAAGAGAAGTTAATGATCTATTAGTCATTAGGGGAGTTTGCTCATAGCGACACAGGAAGAAACCGTAGCTTCCTAAATGCGACCAAAATTTAAGCCAATTAACATAAAAGTGATCACAATTTGGAACGAGTAAATTTATACTATTCTACGTTTCCAAATTACGACCAAATTAACAATATAAATGATATATAAATTAGTCGCTTTTTAAAGATAATAGAAGTAGAAACATATATAATAAGAATTGATGACTATATACGAACGTCAGAATAAGAAGCAACTTCCAAGGCAAAATGATTAATTTTGATTAATAATCAGTAAAACATATCATAATGATTATTTTTCGCAAAAGAATATTTGGCTTTAATTTTAATTAGTCGTTGGAAAATTTGATCACGAAAACATACGTGATGTTGAGAAGCTTAAATTAGCAAAAGCAAAATATATCGAAGATAAAGACTTTAATAGTTATCAAAAAGTTTTTTGAGAGCTCTTTCTCATCGGTATATAGACGTTATAAAGATGCTAGAGATAGTAGTAACGAAAACTAAATTCTGTATTGATATAGCTTTTACTTTTATAGCTGCGCATATATAATACATAAATATATGCGTGGTAATTGGAAACGTAGAATAATACAAATTTACTCGTTCCAAATTGTGATCACTTTTATGTTAATTGGCTTAAATTTCGGTCGCATTTAGGAAGCTACGGTTTCTTCCTGTGTCGCTATGAGCAAACTCCCCTAATGACTAATAGATCATTAACTT